GGGCAATCTACTTCCGTAGTGATACTGCCTCAGAAACCCAAGGAAGGGTCGCTATGAGTTGGGTCCAACTCGATGGCACATAACAACAACAACAACATGTTCTTTAGAAGAAGAGCCCTGGTGGTGTAGTGCCTAAGGCATTTGACTGGTAACCAGAAGGTTGGCGGTTCAAACCCACCAGCCACTCCACAGAGGGAAGGTTGGGCAATCTATTTCCATAAAGATTTACCACCTCAGAAACCCAAAGGGGGTCGGTATGAGTCAGAATCAACTCGATGGCAGTGAGTTTTGGTTATGGCCTTTGGGAAGAGCTCTGGTGATGCAATGGTTAAACACTTGTCTGCTCACCAAAAAACCTGTGGTTCAGACCCACCCAGTGGCTCCATGGGAAAAAGACCAGATGAGATCTTCCCTAGTGATATCTGCTTCCATAAAGATTATAGCCTACAAAACCCTACGGGGCAGTTCTATCCCGTCACATGGGATCATTATGAGTCAGAATTGACCTGATGGTACCTAACAACAACATCCTTTATATTCTAACTTCACTCAATATTGGACTGTATGACAGCCTGGATTAAGAGTTGAAGTCAGGAGAGAGTGCAGAGAGTAATTATATATCACTTATACATATAATTTTTTTTAAAGTAAATTTTTTTAAAAAAAGTAAAAAAAAACAATGGTGTGCAAGTTTCTCAGTTTCATAGTCATCAAGAAATAAGAGACTAGACAGTAGCATTTTAAAAGTAAACAGACATTTAGAGATTACTTCTATCACTTATCTGTCAGAAGAAACAGCTGCAAACATCCATTGATAATCAGAACATAGAATGTACAAAGTATGAATCTAGGAAAATTAGAAGTTATCAAAAAAGAAACAGAATGCATAGAAATTGAAATGCTAGGCATTAGTGAGCTAAAATTGACTAGTATTGGTCATTTTGAATCAGACAATCATATGGTCTACTGTGTCAGCAAAGACTAATTGAAGAGGAATGACATAGCATTCATTATCAAAATGAACATTTCAAGATCTATCCTAAAGTACAATGCTGTCAGTGATAGGATAATATACATACACCTATAGGGAACACCACAGCTAATAAGATTATTCAAATTTACACACCAACCACTAGAGACAAACATGAAAAAACTTCTGCAGTCTGACACTGACCAAACATGCAATCAAGATGTATTGATTATTACTGTTGATTGGAATGTGAAAGCTGGAAACAAAGAACAATCATCGGTAGTTGGAAAATATGGCTTTGGTGATAGGAATGATGCTGCAGATCGCATGATAGAATTTTGCAAGACCAACGACTTAGTCATTGCAAGTATCTTTTTTCAGCAACATAAATGGTGGCTATACACATGGATCTCACCAGATGGAATACACAGGAATCAGATCGACTA